TCCATCGAACAGAAGCAGATCACACTCCATTTGTAAATCTATAAAGAAACCCTTAGCTCATTCTCATTTCTCCTTCTTACCTGGTACTCCTTCACTTTAACGAATCCCAACAGGATGAGGAAGCAGTGAACACATCTGGATCGACTGAAAAGATAACGATTAGTTGGAAGTGAGAACTATGACGTACGATCAACTTCCAAGTCCCCTGAATTGAGCAGGATGCTCGTAGCTATCAACCTATTCGTTGTTGATGTGGTCAAACCGTCGCAAATTACTCTCAGTTCTGCTTCTCACCTGCTACTCATTCACTGAAAGAGCTTCTAACAGGACAAGGAATCAATGAATACTCTTCAAGAAACTAAAACAGAGATTTGATGAAGACAGACAATGGTAACACTTACATTGAGACTCCCAGTCCTAGAACGTCCAGAGGCTTGCTGTACCTTCTACTACCAGCTCCCTTATACACTATGAGCTGAAACTAATGAAATCATAACCACAAAAACTTGCAAAACTTCGATTTCATGCGTATCCAAACTCTCCTTGGAATCGGAGATCGTTCAATGAAACTCGACGATGATGAAACTAAGAAATCCTTTTATCTCTACGGAACGCGGCATATAGAACGCTGCAAAAAAGCTTCTTAGAACAGCCTTTACCTGGCTACTCAGGAATGTCCCAGTACCTATCCCAACTGGATAATTCATAGATGGTCGGGCCCGAATCCGGTTCACGTCTCAATCAACGACGTGAACCTCAAACCCCATTCATGCGATTACCAGACATCATGAACAGAGGCAAGTTTCTATCTGAAGGATAACAAGATTACTCTGAAGGGTACAAAAACATTTCTGGCAAGTAGATGATTGGTAACAACCACAACAGTCTATGAGAACAACATCTTTCACAAAGGTTTATTAGATACAGACAACGAGATATATCAAACAACATGAACACATTCCAGAAGGTACTGCTCAGTACCCAATTACAATGACTCCTAACAATAACTCACAAGTTGACTTTATTTCGACAGAAAATGAGAGCACTTTTTTTGATGTAGAACTGAACTCTCGAATGACTGGGTGAAATTCACATGCACTTGATTGTCCAACATGACTAATCCTAAAGCTACAGCACAGTCTCGAACTAAATAACTTTAAGACAACAGTAATAGGCTCAACACCCACTTAAACTTGTAAACAGCCATCGCAAAGAGCAGTTGATCACATAAAGCTTTTCAATATGCTTGACATCCTTAATGGATGATGATATCCCCAATAGACAAGCAAACATCATACGCCAAACAGGGATCAGTCCATACTAGATCGTTATGCTGACTATCTGATCACGAGTGAGACTAGTCAGCTTTCGAGCTGAAACAGTAGGAGAGTACAGCCTTGTATCAACTTGACAGTGAATCTACTCAAAAGGAGGAGGCTGGAACTAACCTCTCCTGAAGATGGAATGAATCCTATTCCTATAATCTGTGTTGGACATCAACACGAAATAAGATCCAAAGGCAGGATAAAGACAAATGCTTATCATAGCAAATTCGAAAACAGCTGGAAGGAAGTTGTTTGTGATAACCTAGGCTAATGGATAACGCACTTGGATTTCCAATCTTGAAAATACAGCAAACCAGGATAGTGATGATAGGAATGGCCAGTCCAATCATTTCGACGGTCATCTGAAAGGTTGAATATGCTCTCTGTTACGAGCAGAGTAACTCACAAACGATAAAACTCCAACTGTGAGTCTTCGTTGGTTGGCTAAGAACTGAGCAGACTGGGATGATTTCGCTTGATCTCGGATGCTTAGAACTAGGAAGGAAACGGAGACAATCGTAACCAACATAAAGACAGGCGTGACGAGTGCTATATATAATGTTGAAATTATTGTCGCTATATCAGCCGACAGCACAAAGTGCAATCCATTCATAGTATCCATTTCCTTGGGATACACCTTGATCTCCTGAAAACAATTGATTCCAGAAGAGTGGATAATCCTGAACCTTCATACAGATCTTCCGGCCTTTTTCGTTCGCATCCTTCATGGTCAATCCAATCACAGCTATCAAAAATAATTGAACTATCAGTTGGGCAAAGAACAGTTGTAAGACGAGTTCCTTCGTTCTATCAGAAATTCTCACCGAAACTGCAAGAGCTCGGTTGATCGTTATAAGAAGTGCAAAGGCTACACTCGCTGTAACACATAACAATTACAAAGTAGTTTTCTCATCCAATCGTCCTTACTAGCTATCAAAGCAATTTCGAACCAAACTTGAGCCTTAGTGCTCATAAGCGCAAAACGAGTGAACAACCCTCCAAAGTATATGCTGTTACATGGGAGAATAACATGTGGTTGAAAACCAACAGTGATGAAGATCTGAGCAATGCTACCCCTATGTGAGAACGATTATTTCAATTCAGAGAAGAACACTTACAACAGGTCGTGTCCATGAATGGCAAACCGAGCGAGGGTTGTCAGTTTGGTCGGGACAGTTATGAGCAAGTACAATGA